AAAAACAATTCTCTCTCTGGGGGTAAAGTACTCACAAGGAACTACTTGTGTGGATTTTAAGACAATTCCATTGAAAAATGTGGCTAACATCATCAAAATACCGAATATCGGGGGGTACAGTTATATGGGGGATATGCGATATCGTGGACCTATATAGACAATTCTTTTCGAAGGCGTAAAATGTCCACAAGGGACTCCTTTTGTGGAATTTCAGACAATTCCATTGAAAAATGTGGCTAAAATCATCAAAATACCGAATATCGGGGGTACCGTTATATGGGGGCTATACGATATCGTGGACCGATAAAGCCCATCTTCGAACTTGACCTGCCTGCAGACAAAAGAGAGATCTGTGCAAAATTGTAGGTTCCTATCTTAATTCGTTTAGACTGTAGCGTGATTACAACAGACGGACGGACAGGTCTAAATCGCTTAGAATTTTACGCTGATCAAGAATATATATACTTTGTTGGGTCTAAAATGATTATTTCAATGAGTTACAAACGGAATGACGAACTTAATATACCCTCCATACTTTTTTTGGTGGACGGTATAAAAACAATTAGCAAATCAATAATATTTGACATATGAGGAATCAAAATAACCCATCATAATGGTGTGAATGACTGTCTGACGTTTAAGATAACGTAGGTAAACACGAGACAAGCTCTATCCTAACCAATCCCACAAAACTCGAAATAAAATATGTGCCTTTTTGAAATTTGAAAATTTTTGGCGACCATTTCTAAAGTCCAGCCTTGCTCTAACACTAAAAAACTTCAGAACTCTGAAGTGTTTTGAGAACCAAATCTACTAAGATGTTTTAATCTCTAGGGCTCCAACAAATAATAGGCTTGGTTTGAATTATACAATATTACATTTACATGTACATATGCATTTGCATTTTCTCCGCCAATGCTTAGCGTTTGAAAATGTCAGATTCCAATTTTCAGGGAACCACTCTATACCAGACCTTAATCATATCATGGTAAATGAAATAAAACAGTTATGGAATTTTGTTTAGGCAACTGATGGAATAGACTCTAAACTGCCGGTCTTCTTTCAACAACCTTTTAGTGTAGAGCGCACAACAGGCCCATACTGGCTTAAATATGTCCACCAGGAAATGTGGCGATTGCTTCGGCCCTCTTTTCACACAAACCTAACCTACAAGTACATTTGGAGCATATTTATCGATATTAATGGTTATGAATTGATATGTTTTTGACATATTCGCTTCCCTGAAATATATGTTTTGAAAAAAATATTTTCTACTTAATTGAGGAGGAAAATTAAAGTTCTGCACTATCAAACTCGATATATTGTTGTTGTTGTTTCTAAATTTATATTCCTCCGATTTTACATAAACCCATAAAATATAATTTTCACTGTATAAAATCTGTTATGAAAAATATTTTGCTTTGATTAATTTGATTTTTAAGAAATACTCTAGGTTGTTGTTGATTGCTTACATAATATTTATTTTTAACTTCCTGAAATAATCATTTGTCACTGCACAGATCGTATTTAACTCATCAACACTAGCTTTTTGAATCAAAGCAATTGGTTTGCATACAAAGCGAGAGTAGGGAAAGAACAACTCATTAATTTTCCGTATAAACAATTCTTGTATTTTATAACATCCGCCTACAATTAATCACAGCAATGTAAATTTCTTAAAATTCAATTTTTTTATTTTCCCTGACATTGAATGCATATTCCAAAGGCTTTTTATTGTGTTTTTCGCCTTTTTCCCATTAATCTTGTGGCGTGTGTCAATATAGTCCGTTACTTTCTTTACAAAAAAAGTGTAATTTGATTTACACTCGATTCTGTTGCATTCAGTATCCAAACAGTGTTTATTAAATCGACAAGTCTAATTTTATTAGTGTGGATTTAACTTAAAACCTTCCATGAATCTTTTCTTCCATAAATCTTTTTCTGTCGCAATGGAAATAGAAAATCATTATTTACATTTTTCTTTTCACTCAGGGAATAAATAATATTTTGATTTGTTAATTTGTGATTGAATTGAAAGATTGAGATGAAATTTCGCAAAAAAAAATATTTGTGTGGCCCAAGGACAATAGGATTCGTCCTTGGTGAGAATCGGTTCAAATTTAAATATAGCTCCCATATATATCTCCAACGTTTTCGGGTGAATTGTGCACCAAATGACCAATATCAGTCCAAATAACCTGCATTTTGGCATATCTGACCGAATTCAGTATAGAAGCAAGTGCATTAATTTTGGTGCAAATCGATTCAGATATAGATATAGCTTCCATATATATGTTTCAACCGATTTGGGGTTTAAAGTCCCTCACACGCGTAATATGCACTCGACAAGAGTTGTATTTGGTACTAGAAAATTTATGGATGTCGAAAATACCTCTGCCAGATTTAATCGACATCGAATCAGATAATACTTTTTAGCTCATATATATATTTTTATTCGATATCCGGTCTATTGTGCACCACATGGCTAGTATCGGCTTAAATCGATTTTTTTTGGTAATTCCCACTGAATTCATCCTAGAAACAAATACTTCAAATATGGTGAAAATCGGTTCAGATATAGCTATTGCTCCTATATATATTTTTCATTTCTGCTCTACCTCTGCTAAATTTTATCGAGATCGCTTCAGATTTTTATATAGCTTCGATATACAATTTCATCCGTTTTTATACCCTACACCACATAGTGGTAAGGGTATTATGTCTTTGTGCATTTGTTTGTAACATGGAGAAGGAAACGAGATAGACCCATAGTTACTTTTGAGAACCCTCATAGAATCACTTTCTGAGTCGATTTATGCATGTCAGTCCGTCTGTCCGTCCGTCCGTCTGTCCATGTATTCTTGTGAACAAAATGCAGGTCGCATTTATTATCCGATTGAGATGAAATTTTCCAAACAATATTTTTTTGGCCCAAGGACGAACCCTATTGAAATTGGTGAGAATCAAATTTAGATATAGCTCCCATATATATCTTCATCCGATTTCGGGTTAAATGTGCACCAAATGTCCACTATCAGTCCAAATTACCTGAATTTTGGCACACCCAACCGATTCCGGCCTAGAAGCAAGTATATCAAATTTGGAGAAAATCGGTTCAGATATAGCTAGAGCTCCCATATATATCTTTCATCCGATTTGATCTTTAAGTCCCTCACATTCCTACTATGCACTCCACAACCGTGATATTTGGTACCAGGTGTTAGATGGAGCACAGAAATAGCTGTTTTAAATTTTATCGAAATCGGTTCAAATTTGGATATATATCTTCATCCGATTTCGGGTTAATTGGCCACCAAATGGCCAATATCAGCCCAAATGGTCCGAATTTTGGCACATGTGACCAAGATTAGCCTTAAAGCAAATACAACAAATTTGGAGAAAATCGGTTCAGAAACAGCTATAGCTCCCATATATATGTTTTATCCGATTTGGCGTTTAAGCCTCTCACATTCGTAATATGCACTCCACAAGAATGATATTTGGTACAGGATAAAAGATACAGCCCAGAAATAGCTGTTTGTAATTTTATTGAAATCGGTTCAGATTTGGATATAGCTCCCATATATATCTTCATCCGATTTCGGGTTAATTGTGCACCAAATGACCGATATAAGTCCAAATGGACTGAATTTTAGTACATCGGACCAAATTCAGCCTAGAAGAAAGTATATCAAATTTAGTGAAAATCGGTTCAGATATAGATATAGCAACCATATATATGTTTCATCCGATTTAGTGTTTTAGTCCCTTACATTCGTAATATTCACTCCACAACCGTGATATTTGGTACCAGGTATTAGATGGAGCACAGGAATAGCTGTTTTAAATTTTACCGAAATCGGTTCAGATTTGGATATAGCTCCCATATATATCTTCATCCGATTTCGGGTGATTGACCACCAAATGGCCGTAATAGCATCAATTTTGGTAAATCCGACCGAAACCAGCTTAGAAGCAAGTACACCAATTTTAGTAAAAATCGGTTCAGATATAGCTATAGCTCCCATATATATCTTCATCCGATTTCGTATTAATTGTGCATCAAATGGCCAATATCAGCCCAAATGGCATGAATTTTCGTACATAAACCGAATTCAGTCTAGAAGCTAATACGTCAAATTTGGAAAAACCCGGTTCAGAGATAGCTATAGTTCGTAAAATGCACGATAGAATTAGATAGATTTGGATTTTGTACCAAATATCACATAGAGCTCTGAAATGCCCTGTATAAACCTTTTTACGAGAGCTCTACTAAATATGCATAGTGGTGTAGGGTATCATATAGTCGGCCCCTCCCGACTTTTGAGCTTTCCTTTCTGGTTACAGTTATTGCTGCGTCAAATGTAATATCAGCCAAAATTGAATGGATTTCGTCATATTCAACCGGATTTTACTTAGTGAAACTTGGTCCGGTATATCCATTTCTCCAATAAATATATTTTAATATATTGTTTTCTAACTTATATGATGTACAATTCAGCAATGTTATTTGGTTCAGAGTTGGTGTGATCAAATTCACATAAATTTTCAATATTACTTTTAGTTACGGCGCTTTACTGAAAACACAAAGTTGTGTGGGGTATCATATAATCGGCCCCGCCCTGCTGACGGATTATTTGCTAACATGATGTAATAATGTTTTTAAATGTTGATTTAATTTGATATTTGTGTCAAATTTCAGCACTAATTATTTTAATTGGTGAAATAATGTTTTCCAAATCTGCTGTATTATTGATGTTTATTAATGGTACATTTTCGTTTTCTCGAGCGTATAAATTTCCAGTTTTCACCCGTATAAATTTCCATTCTGATTCTTTTGCTTTAGTTTTTTTCAGCCATAGATAGAAGTTGTCTGTTATGTGGTATAAGTTCAGTGTTTATGAATATAAAATTACTCGACCCATCTGGTTGTGCCATTTCCACACCGTTGTTCTTAATCTTATCTATAATTTATGTTTTTCATACTGTTCACGTTCGTGTCGTGCCCAAATTTGGAAATCCCAGGATCCTACAGTCAAGCTATAACATCTCTCGTTGATCTGGCTACCCTAGACGAAGCTTGGGATATTTTTTCTTTGGTTGCTGAGATGGCGCACTCGCTGAGATAGATTTAGCGATTATTATGTTTTTAGTTATAAGATTTATTCTTCTTGTTGTTTAACTCGTTGAACGGAATAGACGTCCGCGTTTTTTAGACCGATCGATTCTGTCAATAAGAAATCAATTTGTGTAAAATCTTTAAGTTTTTCCCTTTTTTTAATAAAACCAAGAATTGTTTTCTTTCCGTGGCCGAAAATAAATGATTTTTTATTCAAACATAAAATTGCCTGGTGTCGCTGTGGTTGGTTCCAGTTGTACTTTACCGGTGTCTGACATTTTTTTTTGATTTGTTGTTGGGATTTGCCCAAGTTTTGTATCGGAACAAAACATCGTCCTTCGAGCCGGATTGTGAGTACGAGGAACATCCTTTTTTACTTTTGTTGAATATTGGCGAAAATCAGGTAACGATATCGTTTTTTGATATTAATTATCTTATATTTCGATAAAATTATCAGTCTTTGTAAATAAAAGTTATTTGCAAATATTCCCAAATTATTTTGTTTATCCCAGTTTTGTGGTCAAAAAGGTCTTGATCTGGTAACGCCGTCACAGCTGATCGCCGTTTTGACAGAGAACACTAACAACTAACAGTGGATTACTCGTTGGTCTTCTTCTTGTTAGTTAGTTTTTTGTTTTGATTTTATTTGGTTTGGTTTGCAACTAAGTTTTATTGATTAAAATATAATTTAAAGGAAAAAAAACTAAAATACACAAAAAAATTATAATTATAATTTATAGTTTTATAAAATAAAAATTTGGTGTCAGTGTTAGCGAGTGCTGTGGTTAATTTGTGAGAGAATAAACGGAATTGAAACAGACGGACGGACAGAATCTGTAAAATAATAATTCTGTTTAGCAAGTTTTTTCTCACAAAATTGCAAATAAGTGACTTTGCCAATAACATAAGAAAAAGAAAAAGGAAATTTTTCCTCTCTTTTTCGTGTTTTTTTTTTACTCCAGTAAAATATTAAATTTCTGTGATTAAAGTTTGTATGGGTTGTTTGTTGTTGCCCATTTTTGTTTTGCTAGTGGCAGCTGCACTTTAAGTTGGAAGGAGACTTATAATAACAAGGTGAGTCGTCCTTCACATTACTATTGTTAGTGACAGATGCACTTTAAAGTGGAAGGAGACTTATAATAACAAGGTGAGTCGGCCTTCACTTACCAATAAGATTTTTGGTTACAGAATAATTTATTTTTTGTTCTAATTTCGGGTTTTAACCATATTAAGTGCTTATTTAAAAATCGTTACGGATAGTAATTACACTTCTTCGGAAATTTAGTGAAGACTGGAGTGATTTATATATTATTTTTTCCCAAGATTTCGTTGATTTATATTGGAATTTGTTGATTACTTAAATCAAAAAATGGCAGAATCGAAAGTTTTGCTTAAATTTAAAGCACTTGCTGCCTTGTTACTGGAGTTTGAGGCTGATTTTGACGCCATGAACAAAGACTCGGTAACTATGTTCGCTGTTGAGCCTCGTAAGGTTGAATTGAAAAGATTATGGGCCAGAATAAATTCTACTTATGAACATGTTTGTATTGAAAGTAGTGAATTCAAAGACGAAGCAGCTAATCTTTATAGGCAGTGTAGGGAAGCGTACATAGTGTTGCTCCGCGCAAATGGGTGAATTGTCCCAGTCCTTTGGGGACAACTCTACATTATCATCGACAATGGTTAGTCCTAGTCAGCGAACAAGACGTTTGGAAAATAACGTTTCTGACCATCGCTTGCGCTTGCCTCCTTGTACGACGGAGATTTTTCATGGTGATTATTTGTCGTGGCCGTCTTTTAGAGACATGTTCACTGCGGTATACATTGATTGTAAATCGATCACGCCGGTGGAAAGATTGTTTTATTTACGCCAAAGTACTCAAGGTGAAGCTTTAGAAATCGTTAAAAAATCACCTTTGACTAACGATGGGTTTGCAAATGCATGGTCAAATCTAAAGGACAGATATGAGAATAAGCGCATTTTAGTGAACAGTCAATTGAAGGTTCTTTTTAATCTGGTTTCAGTCAAGAATGAGTCAGCTGGAGAGATTAAACGCCTCCAAAGGGACGTTAACAATTGTATTACGGCCCTAAAGTTACACGAAATCAACATTGATAGCTGGGATCCGATTTTTGTGTTTCTATGCTCCACTAAATTGCCCACAAATACATTATCGCTTTGGGAGCAGACCGTTAGTAAAAAGACAGAAGTTTCCAAGTGGTCGGATCTAGATGAATTTTTGACAGCCAGATTTCAGTCGTTAGAGACCGTATACGACTTAACACATTCAAAGGAAGTTAAGTCTCCTGAAGTTAAACCACCGATTGAACATTCTCGTTCGAGCAGGAGGGTAAAGTCTTATCAGGCTAACATAAATAAAAAATCGTGCTTTATATGTTCGCAGGATCATTGGTTGAAATCTTGTCCGAAGTTTCTGAAGATGAATCATGAACAAAGATTTGTGGCGACAAAAAGAAATAACCTTTGCCTGAACTGTTTCAGTAACAATCATAAACTCTCTCAATGTACAAAGAATACAAGTTGTTCAAAATGTAATTTAAAGCATCATACTCTTTTGCATAGAGAGTCTAAACAGGCGGGTTCCGGATCGATGGCTAATTCGGATGCCCAACCTAGTACTAGCCGGCAGGCAGCGCAAACTAATATTGAGTCTAGAGTGCAGAATTGTTTTGTAGTTACTCGAAAACAGGTTCTACTGGGAACGGCGATTGTTCAAATTGACGTGAATGGTGTAATTTTTGTTGCTAGAGCTTTAATTGATTCGGGATCTCAGGCAACATTCATTTCTGAAAAATTGCAGCGACGTCTTAATCTGCCCATTAAAAAAGTAAACGCTAGGATTTCCGGTCTGAATGATGTTTTAGCTGGGTCTGCTGAGAAACAGTGTACATTTTTGTTAAAGTCGCCTCATAATGACAGTTTTGGAGTCCAAGTTTCTAGTTTGGTTTTGCCAAAATTGACAGGAAAACTGCCTAGCTATACTTTGGATGTTCCAGATATCTACTCGCTCGGTATTGTACCTTTGGCTGATCCTAAATTTGCAATGAGTGATCAGGTTGATATTTTGCTTGGTGGTGACGTTTATCCTCAGATTGTGTTGGATGGAGTGCATCGAAACGTCTTAGGGTCGTTGTTGGCACAAGAAACTATTTTCGGTTGGGTTCTCACAGGCCCGATTGCTAATCCAAGCCCTGTATCATTTACAACGTGTGTTTCCTTTTGTACGGCTGTCGAGATGGACAAACTTTTAGAAAAGTTTTGGGAGTTAGAAGAACCACCGAAAGTGACAGAATACAGTCCAGAAGAAGAATATTGTGAGGAAGTTTATCAAAAGACCACCAAAAGGTTGCCCGATGGTCGATATATGGTTTCGTTGCCTTTTAAACCTCAGTTTGAGGGCGGAACGGTTCTTGGTATATCCAGAACAAAAGCTTGTAGACAATTTTTGCGAAACGAGGCGTCTTTGTGTAAGAAACCGGAATTTAAGTCCATATATGATAGTGTGTTGGAAGAGTACGAGTCTTTGGGTCATATGGCAGAAGTTACGCAAGATGAAGAAGAATCAAGGTCTTTCTATCTGCCTCATCATGCTGTCATTAAACCTGAAAGTTCATCTACAAAAGTTAGAGTCGTTTTTAATGCTTCTAGCAAGTCCTCTTCAGGGTTGAGTTTAAATGATACTTTATACCCAGGCCCAATTCTTCAGAATGACTTGATGTTATTGATAATTCGTTGGCGATTTTATCGGTATGTCTTCAATGGCGATATTGAAAAGATGTATCGTCAGATTTGGTTAAATGGGGATCATACCAGGTTTCAGAGATTGGTTTTTCGTAAGGATCCTAAAGCTGAATTGAAAAACTTTGAATTGAAAACTGTGACGTTTGGTGTCAATTGTGCACCTTTTTTGGCCATTAGAACTTTGCTCCGGTTAGCATCAGATGTTGAAGAGGAATTACCTTTAGCGGCCAAAATTCTGCGCCGTATGATGTACGTAGATGACGCCCTAGCAGGTGCTCATGAATTGGAACTGGCAATTGAAGCTAGAGATCAGTTGGTTTGCGCTCTATCCTCGGCCGGGTTTTCCATGAGAAAATGGACTTCGAACAATGAGAAAATATTGCAAGGGTTACCTCCAGATCATCTTCTTACCTGAAAATTTTTTGGAGATTGAGGACGAAAGTAATACGAAAACTTTAGGCATAAGATGGAATGCAAAGAGTGACTTTTTCTATTTTTCGGTGAAACCCATTGAAATGAAGCTGGAGTTCACTAAAAGGGAGGTTTTATCCATAATTGCCAGCTTGTTTGATCCCGCAGGTTGGCTTGGACCCGTTATTATAGTGGCAAAAATGTTAATGCAGGAGATTTGGAGCGAAGGTATTGGTTGGGATGAGGAACTGCCTGAGAGAATTTGCCATAAGTGGAAGCAATTCGTTGTTGATTATCTTTCGTTGAATGGTATTAAAATTCCAAGATGGGTTGGTTTTCAGCCAAGTGGCCAAGTGGAAATTCATGGGTTTTCGGATGCTTCTGAGAAAGCCTATGGAGCTTGTGTTTATGTTCGCGTAGTATCTGAAGAGGGTTCGGTACAAACGCATTTATTGTTGGCGAAATCAAGAGTTGCTCCTCTAAAAATTGTTTCATTGCCTCGATTAGAGCTGTGTGCTGCGCTTTTGTTGTCAGATTTGATGGGGTCTGTACGGACCGATTTGTGTCTTGATGAGAAGAAAACTAAATTTTATTGTTGGTCTGACTCCATGATCGTCCTTGCTTGGCTACAAAAGCCACCGAACTCGTGGAACACTTTTGTTGCTAATAGGGTTTCAAAAATAGTTGATACGGTTGGAAAAAGCAACTGGAGACATGTTAGATCAGAATTTAATCCTGCGGACCTGATCAGCCGAGGTATTCGACCACAACATCTTAAAGATGAAGCGCTCTGGTGGTATGGACCATCTTGGCTTCAAGCTTCTTGTAGCCAATGGGAAACGGACATCGTAGATTTTGATACTCAGGAAGAGGGAAAAAAGGTGAAAATATTTCATGCATACATAAAAAAGTATGATGATGTCCTGGATCACTTTTCTTCTTATTCAAAGGCGTTACGCATCATGACATATGTTTTTCGTTTCATTGCCTGTCTGAAAGGGCAAAACTCTTTCTCCCAGACAATGGTAAGTTCCAAAGAATTTCAAATTACGAAGGAACGTTTAACTGTATTAGCTCAAAAGGTTTACTTGGCAGATGAATATAATTGTTTATCGAATGGAAGATTGCTTTCACCAAAAAGTATTTTACTTAGCTTAAATCCGTTTGTTGATTCGAAGGGTTTAATGCGTGTTGGTGGCCGGCTGGCTAATGCAGATGAGATGTCGTTCAGTGAAAAACATCCACTCATTCTGCCTTATAATTGTAAAATGTCACAACTTCTAGTGAATTTTATTCATCAAGTGACTCTTCATGGAAGTAATCAATTAATGCTTCGAGTTCTGCGGACGGAATTTTGGATACCAAGAGCGAAAAACCTGATCCGATGGTCTATACGTCGTTGCCGAATTTGTACCATAATGGCTAAACAGACCCGAACTCAGTTGATGGCCTCTTTGCCGATTTCCAGGACTATACTTGATAGACCTTTCACTCGAACTGGTGTTGATTTTGCTGGTCCCTATGATATTAAGAATTATACAGGTCGGGCGTGTTTGATAACAAAAGGATACATTTGTCTATTTGTGTGCTTTGCTACTCGAGCTATCCATTTAGAAGCTGTAAGTGATTTATCAGCGGCGACTTTTTTGGCGGCATTTTCCCGATTTGTTTCTCGGAGAGGTTGTCCAAAAGACATGTATTCTGACAATGGGACGAATTTTGTTGGGGCATCCAAGACAATAAGGACTGAATTTCGCAACTTTATTCAAACGGTTGGCCCTGAATTTATTAAGATATATTCGGCAAGGGGTGTGAATTGGGTTTTTAATCCAGCAGGAGCACCACATATGGGTGGTTTATGGGAAGCTGGTGTGAAATCGTTTAAACACCACTTCAGAAGAATAGCAGCAAATTTAAAATATACTTTTGAAGAATTTTCTACGCTGTTAGCTCGTGTAGAGGCATGTTTAAATTCAAGACCACTTTGTCCTCTGTCTGATGATATAACTTCTCTTGATGTCTTGACTCCTGGGCACTTCTTGATAGGTGGACCCATCTTGTCTCCACCCGAACCCGAAATAAGTGAAGCACCGGAATCGATAATAAACCGATGGCAAAGGGTTAAAGCTTTGAATCAACGTTTGTGTGTACGTTGGAAGAATGAATATTTGAAGGAGCTCACCAAACGGAACAAGTGGAAAAATCCCGATGAAAATGTTAAAGTCAATGATATGGTTGTTATCAAAGAAGATAATATTCCGCCTAATGAATGGAGATTAGGTCGCATAACTAAAGTGTTACCAGGCGTCGATCAGTTAGTGCGGGTTGCAGAGATCAAGACTGAAAGGGGTTTGATAATTAGGCCAGTAGTTAAACTGGTCGTCTTACCCTCTAACTAGAGTTATTTCGTTCATTATAGAATCATGGTTAAAGCTAAGAAATACAATGCCGAAAATCGTGTGAACAAGAGACGTATTGTTTGCCGAGTGTGTCTAAAGGATCATCCACTTCGGTTTTGTCGCAAGTTCCTGGATATGGATTACGCCGAAAGAATGAAGATAATCTCCATTTATCAGCATTGTGCTGGTTGTCTGGCACACGATCACACGTGGCGCACGTGTGAGAGCACCGGTAAGTGTAAGAAGTGTGGAGATATGCACCATACCTTACTTCACAAACCTGGACCTCGTCCGTCTGGGGATTTGGTGAAGAAGAGTTTTCCTGGGGACGGACCTAGTTCGTCCAAGTCCCAACCGAAGAAAGGGCCCCGCTCGTCTAACTCTTTTAAGGAACCAGAGCATACCCAGAATGGACCTAGTTCGTCCAAAACTGCGTCGCATAACGGACCTCGTTCGTCCAACCATGGATTTAAAAAGGGACCTAGTTCGTCCTCGAAGAAATCTTCTAGTGAAGTAGTGCCGTACGGTAGGCGACAGAATAGTAGGAGGGAGACGTCGTATGAAGTGATTCCTACATATAGCTTACGAGAGACTATCTTGTTGAGAGCGACAGCAGTGGTTAAAGTTATTTGCGGAGATCGTTATTTGCATGAAAGGGCCTTAATTGACCCCAGTAGCGAGAGCTCTATAATAGCTGATTCTTTGGTGAAGAAGATGGGTCAAAAAGTTCTTCGAGTAGGAAATAAAACCCGATGCCTGCTCCAGCTTAGAGGCAATCACGGGATGTCGTCGACGGTGGAAACGTATGCGGAAGTTCGTCGCAATTACGCCGTGGTTACTCCGAAGAAGTCAGTGGATGTTCGTCTTGTAGAGGAGTTCCCGGGGTTGCAGTTAGCTGACGAGCATTTCCACACATCGGGACCGGTTTATCTGACGTTGGGTGGAGATTTGTATTCCAAAATCATTCGGAACGGGGTCAGCGGAGGTGCGCTTGGAAAACCGCTTGCGCAGTTTACTATTTTTGGATACGTTATATCCGGAACTTATGCCTCATAAATTGCTGTAAGGCATGATGTATATTTGTTTTAACCATGACACAACATAATGTGGATATCTAATTACAGCTCTGATCTCATTGGATTTTCTTTTTTTCTGTTAAAATGAATATGAATTTTTTATTGGATTTTACTTACAATATTTTTGATGAATAAGTTATTTGTTTGTTGAATTTTTTATAACTTAAAGCTGAATTGAGATTAACAGCAATGTGCAGAATTTGCACTGTTCTCAACAACCGACTAATTCTTTTTATTTCTTTTATTTTCTTATCGTTTCATGGTTTTCGAGCTATTTTCAGAGCTTTCTAGTTCCGAAAGACTGAAAGGTGGCCGGGATGTTCACGTTCGTGTCGTGCCCAAATTTGGAAATCCCAGGATCCTACAGTCAAGCTATAACATCTCTCGTTGATCTGGCTACCCTAGACGAAGCTTGGGATATTTTTTCTTTGGTTGCTGAGATGGCGCACTCGCTGAGATAGATTTAGCGATTATTATGTTTTTAGTTATAAGATTTATTCTTCTTGTTGTTTAACTCGTTGAACGGAATAGACGTCCGCGTTTTTTAGACCGATCGATTCTGTCAATAAGAAATCAATTTGTGTAAAATCTTTAAGTTTTTCCCTCTTTTTTAATAAAACCAAGAATTGTTTTCTTTCCGTGGCCGAAAATAAATGATTTTTTATTCAAACATAAAATTGCCTGGTGTCGCTGTGGTTGGTTCCAGTTGTACTTTACCGGTGTCTGACATTTTTTTTTGATTTGTTGTTGGGATTTGCCCAAGTTTTGTATCGGAACAAAACACATACCCTCCACCATAGTATGGAGGGTATATATTATACCGATATTCGGTATTTTGATGATTTTAGCCACATTTTCCAATGGGATTGTCTGAAAATTCACACCAGGAGTCTTTTCTGAGTACTTTACCCTCTAGAAGAGTACTGTTTATATAGGTCCACGATTATTCACGCATTTCTTTTTATAACGGGTATATTCGGTGTTTTTAAGATTTAAAAAGAGTTTTTGGCGAATGGTATATTTGAAAATTTCCTATTTCGTTCCAAATGGTGGAGGGCATTCAAAGTTCGAACTGGCCGAACTTACTGATTTTTATACCCTACACCACATGGTGGTCAGATTATTATGTCTTTGTGCACTTGTTTGTAACAGGCAAAAGGAAACGAGATAGACCGATAGTTTCTTTTGATGATCTGCATAAAATAACATTCTGAGTCGATTTATGCATGTCCGTCCGTTTGTCCATGTATTTTTACGTACAAAGTACAGTTCGCATTTGTTACCCCATCCAGATGAAATTTTACACAAATCACTTGTTTGGCCCAAGGACGAACCCTATTGAAATTGGAGATAATCGGTAAAAATTTAAATATAGCTCCCATATATATCTTCGTCCGGTTTGCTTTTTATTGTGCACCAAACGTGTAATATCAGCCCGAATAGTATGGAATTTTGCATATACAATCAAATTAGGCCTGAAAATAAGTATGCCAAATTTGATCGAAATCGGTTCAGATATAGCTATAGCTCCAATATATATTGTTCATTCGATTTGTTATTTTTGTATGTAAGTTTACAAATATTTGGCACATATACATACACATATGCTAGACAAGACAAATGAAGAAGAAGATTTGATGTTATTCCACTACAACATCGAACATATATTTAAAAATTCACCGAATCTATCCACTCACAGCATTTGTTATGCATTTTACGTTGGACCCGTCAAATGTTTCAGTTCATCTAATTTGTCCAAAATGTCATTGTTGATGTTTGCCATACCCACATTGATGCCATTATTTTCCATCTCAATTCTAAATTCGAGACGTGTGTTTGCCTACTTGCATCCATGTGGTATAAGAATCAAAACCCATCTCTTGGCCTGGATCATTGTTGGCATCATTACTGCCCTAACATTGAAAAGCCATAAAATTATCTAAGTAAGCGGTTATCGAACTGGTTTCAATAGATACACTATTGCCACAATCAAACCCCGTCTGGCATTCTCCACCAAGTGTATGCCTGCATAACGTGTTTAGATTCTTCCAATTTATTCGAAACCATTCAATCCTCTAGCATTGAACACGGCACACTTCCCGCCTGGCATTCTCCACCAAGTGTATGCCTGCATAACATCTTTAGATTCTTCCAATCTATTCGAAACCATTAGATCCTCTTGCATTGAACACGGCACACTTCCTGGCATTGCAGTTTGGAGATTATAAAATAGTTGTGTGGTGTGAAAATGTTATTGAATTTTCCGAGTGTCTTTCATACGTGTCCCAGTTCTTGGCATTTGCGTTTGTCGGTGTGATTCTATGCCACTCAGTTTCTCACTAAGTCAATGTGTGTTTACTTTGGTCTTTTAAAGATGATGCTGTATAGTATTATCATAGCGAAGGAAAACCTGACTGTTTGTTTAACAGAAATCATAGTTTCGAATGCCAACAATGAGAATGACAGACATCAGCCACAAAATATGCCTCTGCCACCATTGCCCCGCACATTGCATCCTTGAACAAGATCTTGTGCACGTATTTGGTATTGCCATGCCACAATCTTGTTGTGTATTTCATTTACGTGGCACGAATGCATATTCTAGCTTCCACATCGTTGTCAAATGGAGGGCTTAGAACGTCAGAAGGAGGATGTGGAATACCGATGGGTTAACCATTGACCAGTTCATTGCTTTAATAAATCCTAATGTACATATTTAATTACTTAATGCTAATTGATTTAGACATCATTAAATAATTTATAAAATGCATATAAATATTTGTGTTAGGAAATAACTTACTAAGCAGGAATTGTCCAAGACATACCTACAAATAGTGAGGTGGGTCTTTGTCGAGTCATTATCCACACGTATATAAAGCTCACTATTGCGGACATAATCCCCATTATGAGGTCCATTATGAGGTAGGTATTTTTAACCGCATTGCGACAAAATATTTTGTTCGTGGGAGAAATACACGGCTACCCAGTTATTCGACCCAAAAGTTCAGATACAAAATCCGTATTTCCGGGTATCATTTTAAAGCTTACAGAAATATCTATCCAACAAGTTGTCAACAAGTGGGGTTATTTGAACGGACTCCGAAGCAATACAATGAAATTGGTATTTTGTTCTGTAATTTTTTGAAAAGAAAAAAAAAAAAAAAAAACAATAGTCGAAAGACGAAAATTTACCCATTTTGGTTTTATTTACGGGCTATGCTCGGATTGACCTAAAATTTTTATCATTAGTAGGTATTTATACCCTACACCACATAGTGGTAAGGGTATTATGTCTTTGTGCATTTGTTTGTAACATGGAGAAGGAAACGAGATAGACCCATAGTTACTTTTGAGAACCTTCATAGAATCACTTTCTGAGTCGATTTATGCATGTCAGTCCGTCTGTCCGTCCGTCCGTCCGTCCGTCCGTCTGTCCATGTATTCTTGTGAACAAAATGCAGGTCGCATTTATTATCCGATTGAGATGAAATTTTCCCAACAATATTTTTTTGGCCCAAGGACGAACCCTATTGAAATTGGTGAGAATCGGATCAAATTTAGATATAGCTCCCATATATATCTTCATCCGATTTCGGGTTAAATGTGCACCAACTATCCACTATCAGTCCAAATTACCTGAATTTTGGCACACCCAACCGAGTTCGGCCTAGAAGCAAGTATACCAAATTTGGAGAAAATCGGTTCAGATATAGCTATAGCTCCCATATATATCTTTCATCCGATTTGATCTTTAAGTCCCTCACATTCCTACTATGCACTCCACAACCGTGATATTTGGTACCAGGTACTAGATGGAGCACAGAAATAGCTGTTTGTAATTTTATCGAAATCGGTTCAGAGTTGGATATAGCTCCCATATATATCTTCATCCGATTTCGGGTTAATTGACCACCAAATGGCCAATATCAGCCCAAATGGCCCGAATTTTGGCACATGTGACCGAGATTAGCCTTAAAGCAAATACAACAAATTTGGAGAAAATCGGTTCAGAAACAGCTATAGCTCCCATATATATCTTCATCCGATTTCGGGTTAAATGTGCACCAAATGTCCACTATCAGTCCAAATTACCTGAATTTTGGCACACCCAACCGAGTTCGGCCTAGAAGCAAGTATATCAAATTTGGAGAAAATCGGTTCAGATATAGCTATAGCTCCCATATATATCTTTCATCCGATTTGGTGTTAAAGCCTCTCACATTCGTAATATGCACTCCACAAGAATGATATTTGGTACCAGATATAAGATACAGCCCAGAAATAGCTGCTTGTAATTTTATCGAAATCGGTTCAGATTTGGATATAGCTCCCATATATATCTTCATCCGATTTCGGGTTAATTGTGCACCAAATGGCCGATATAAGTCCAAATGGACTGAATTTTAGTACATCGGACCAAATTCAGCCTAGAAGCAAGTATATCAAATTTAGTGAAAATCGGTTCAGATATAGATATAGCAACCATATATATGTTTCATCCGATTTAGAGTTTCAGCCCCATACATTCGTAATATTCACTCCACAGCCGTGATATTTGGTACCAGGTATTAGATGGAGCACAGGAATAGATGTTTTAAATTTTATCGAAATCAGTTCAGATTTGGATATAGCTCTCATATATCTTCATCCGATTTCGGGTTAAATGTGCACTAAATGGTCAATATCAGCCCAAATCACCAGTCTAGAAGCTAATACGTAAAATTTGGAGAAACCCGGTTCAGAGATAGCTATAGTTCGTAAAATGCACGATAGAATTAGATAGATTTTGATTTTGTACCAAATATCTCACAGAGCTCTGAAATGCCCTGTATAAACCTTTTTACGAGAGCTCTACTAAATATGCATAGTGGTGTAGGGTATCATATAGTCGGCCCCGCCCGACTTTTGAGCTTTCCTTACTGGTTTTAACCTGAATACGGTGAGGTTAGGATCCGCAAGAGCTATCAACACATATGACACCTTCTTGGAAAGGAAAGTGTAGGCTATAATGTAGTATATAACCAGTAAAGAAAGTCTTAAAGTCGGGCGGGGCCGACTTTATGATACCCTACACCACTTTGCTAATTTAGTAGAGCTGCTCATAACAATTAAAAGTTTTTATGGGAGAATTCAATAATACACGCTATGACTATAATTATAATTTAAAGTTCAAGGGACTAAATATGCCGAAACATTTGTATCTTTTAAATTCGGACTTGCCCATTTGGTGCACAATTAATTTGAAATCGGATAAAAATATATATGGGAGCTATATCCAAATCGGAACCGATCACGAGATATTGCTGAGTTGTATTTGATTTATTTCCCTGAATATCGTTGTTACGGAGTGCATATTACGGCTGTGGGTAACAAATATGACAAATCGGATGAACAGTATATATGGGAGCTATAGCTATATCCGAACCGATCTTCACCAAATTTGACATACTAGCGGTTGAATAGTATATATGGGAGCTATAGCTATATCTGAACCTATCTTCACCAAATTTGACATACTAGCTTCTAGACTCAATTCGGCCGTAAGTGCCAAATTTCATCCAATAGGGGCAAATATTAGACGTTTGGTGCACAATCAAAGGTAAATCCGACGAAGTTATATATGAGAGCTATATCCAAATCTGAACCGATCTCGATAAAATTTAGCAAATTTATTTCTGAGCTATATTTGATATATTTTCCCAAATTT